TGAAAAATAAATATCAAAGACTACCCAGAGAGTTTCAAATGCCAAGGAACGTTAAAAATGATACAATTCTTAAAGTTAAGAACTTTGCGAAGATATTTGCCAAAAATATGACAAAAACGATGTTAAAAACGAGGTCAAGAGATTTGAATTATTGCTACATTTCTAGTTTTGAAAAATTAATTCACTTAAAGCTGTCCCTCATTGTTAAAGGAAAATTCTTCTATTATGTTACTTAAAATTTACGTTGTTTGTTTTTCAGAACTATTAATTACAATAATTTGTTAAATAAAATTGTATAAGTCATTTTTGGAGTTGATTAAAAGAAAGCAATTTATAAATTGAATTACGTTTTTTAAACTGTTTATAAGCACTTCTTCATAAAAACTTTATGCTTTCCTCCTTTTTGTAAGAAGATTTTCAAAACAATTTAATTCTTATTATAACAATTAATAATTATTTACTCATTAGTTTTCCAAAGCTGTGCTTTTTACTCATAACTGTTCAAGAGATGTTTTTGTTATTTGTAATACAAATTTTTCCTTATTTTTAGTTATTAGTAAGTATGTATTTAAGAAATGCTTTTCGAATAACAGTTGTACTTAGCAAAAACGACTGTTTTTGTACTATTTTTCAAAAGCTCATTTTCGCATTTCATTTCAAAAGCTAAGTCTTCATCATTTTAAAACACTCTGTTATTTACTCATTTTCGTTTTTTGCTCGTTACTTTTGTGTATTCGTGACTGTGCCTTTTAATTTCTAAATAGTCACTCTAATGTATAATAGATAGGCGCGAGTAATGTTACCCCAAATACCTTGTATTTACTTTGAAAAATACTTAGGATATACACTGAGAAAAAAAAAGTTTGATCAAAACTACTAACGAATGCTGTAAAATTGACCCTATTTTTGGCTCTATGGGAACAGCAAACAGCATGATAATACCATAGCATTTTGGTAATGAATTTGGAAAAACCATTGTTTTATAAAAGGTGTTAAAATTTGGTAAATGTGGTTTAAAAAAAATTACTTTTATTGTAATATCATAGAGCATGGTATAAAAACCATTCATTTGATTAAATTTACATTTTTCAGTTTTGTATTCTTTACTAAATATATGGTAATGAGAACGATAATTTAAAAAACCAGAAATTTCTGTAAACTGTTACTATATGAACGGAATAATTACCAAATGTATGGTTTAAATACCGTATACCAAAATTATGAATTCTTATTTTTTGCCAGAGATGGTACACAATATGGTAATTTTGCTATAATTCTTTTTTTTTTTCCTCCTTATAGTTCTGAGCTTACTAAAGAGTCGATGAAAATCGGAAGTATATGTTGTACCTACTCATACAACTTAAGGTAAACTTTAAAGTATTAATTACTCACTTCAAAGAAAAACGTTTAATTGCAGAAGAAAACTCTTCTTATAACCAATTACTGGGTTTGTGAGAAAAGTAAGATAAATCAAGTTGATTAAAAATACGCTCACTGTTTAAATCTGAGCTATACATTAAAATCTTTTAAAATAGGCTCTTTCTGGGTCAGTACATCACTTCTAACGAGATTTCCAATCATCAAAAGGCCAATGTACTTGGCGTTTACATAAACAATCAACACCAAAGGCCTTGTGACCTGAAATCTTTTCAAATTTTACTCATAACTTGATGGTAATTCATCGATCACTTGCACAGGTGTTGAAAATGAACAGCAAGCGGGTGCAACTTGCACTTGCGCAGGTGCTGAAGGTGTTCAGATGCAACTTGCGCAGGTGCTAAAAATGAATTTTTCGAAAATATCTGCACCTATGGACTGGATAGTTGGAAGTGACTGAATGATCAAGCACACGTTTTTTTCTGACCTCTACTATATCTTAATTTGTCCGAGAGCGCTGGAACGTGTATAAGCTTCTCAATAAAATCAGTTTCATTATTTTCCGATACACCCTGCAGGAATTTTTATGCTTTTTTTTCTTCCTTTTATTCAATCTTTATTTTTTTCTACGCATGTCATATCTCAATAATTGCTGATTAATTTTCTTCAAAATTTGTGCACATTTTTTTAAAATCTTTTTTTGCATAAATCTTCAGTATAAACTAAATTTATGCGAGGCAACTTTATTAATACAATAATACTTTTTTTATTGCTCTATAGTTTAAAAAATAACTTACTGAAAGTGTTGAGTATTTTGAACTTTTCCTGATTTGATCCAAAGTGCTTACTGATCTGAAGTGCTATTTGATCAAAAGATTTGGGCAAATGCTTATTTTATCATTCATGTGTTAGCCTTATACAAACATATGTATAGAACCTTATACCTAGAATGATGGGAGGGGTCATAATGGCATCTTATACACATTTTTTAGGTATCCCATAATTTCAGGTAGGTTTAGGCAAAAGGAACCCTTAATTAAGTATAAAATACCCAAGTTTCCTTAATAACACATGAATAATTATTATTTATAGAGCTGAGTTATCTAAGAAACTAATATATAATATAGTTGAAAAGTCAATGTTCCGTTTTATCAAATTAACCGAATTGAATGAAATATCATAGGCTATGAAAAGTTTTTATAAAATGAATTATGATTATATCTTAAGATTTTAGGTGTCTAATTGATCTAAGGAACGAAAAATTTGGGAAGGACTCCTTTAAAGAAAGTACCCTTATAGGAAGGGCCTCTTACAACTCTACAACAATGTTCAGTCTTTCTAGTGTAAATAAGATACGTAATATTCCTCTCTTTTTCATCAGCAAACCTCTGTCATTGAAAGTCAACAGCTCAGCAAACAACTTCAGCTTAATCCAAAACGACAAAACCTATTTTTTTGGAAAATTTGAATTAGTTTATTATAATTCAAAAGTTATTTTGTGAACAGTTTCACTCTAAAATATTTCACATTCATTTTTTTTAATACAAAATAAATAATACATCACATGTTTCATAAAATTCCACTGATGCTTTAAAAGAGTACAAAACCTCTTTAACAAGCATGAAATCTAATTAACAACAAAAAAGAGCTTACGTTACATAATTAAATATTTGAATAATATTAGGTGACTTTCTAAGATTTTTTCCTAACCTTAGATCTTTTCTAAAACAAATTTTGGAATGTAATATACAAAATTATTTTTATAATTAATTGAAGGTTACTTAAGTCTAAAGTAAATTATGTTTGTTGCGTAAAAGATGTGAATTGATTTTTTTTCCTGCAACCGTTAATTTATTGTCTAGCAACACGACCTCAAACAAACGATGCAAGGGGAAACTAAGCAAAAATAATTTTCCTAACAATTTATCTCGATTTCCTGGATAATAATGTTGTAAACAAATCAATGAAATTAGTGTTTTTAAGGGAGCTGAAACTCATGATTAAAAAATAATTCATTTAAGTTGTTGACTCACTTTCATGCGTTTTCCTGACTGTACTTTAATGGCAATGTGTCATGTAATTGTATTGGGAAAGATTATTATACGAATATCGAGCTCAAACAACTTATAAATGAATGCATGCTAAAACATTGTTAATCGAAATTACAATACAAATGCTTGATATGGAAGAAAATATTTACTGTTTTACTAAGCATATAACTAGCAATTTGGATGTAAACAAAAAACTTATTATTCTGTTTTGAAGAAAAATTGCATATTGAATGCTAATTATATTTTCGGTTGCAAAATACATAAGTTAGCAGACCAGACAATTAAATGAAATCACCTTAAGTTCTAATATTAATTATGGTTTTAGACATAAATTTCTTTCAAACACTTTATTACTATAAAACAGTAGTTTTCAACCAAGAATACCATTTATATTTTGCATTCCTTAGATTAACATAATGCATGAAGCAGAACGCTGTAGGAACCAAGTTCAGAGCTTTTAACTGACAAACTTGAAAAGTTTCAATTAGTTATAACAGAAAAAGCATATGAGTCTAAACTTTTATTAAACTACAAAATTGAAGTGATTTTTCCAGAGTATACACTCGGTGAACTTACTGCTTGAACTTTACAATTAGAGTTTAAGGAGTTTGATATTCAATTTGTTGTATAAACAAAACTGGAATGATGCTACGGGAGAGCTCGCACTTAAAGATTATTTGAAACTACACAAAACCAATCGTGAGCTTCTATCTGCAAAGAAATAACAAAACTGAAATGACATTGAGAAGTTTGCAATCGAAGAGTTTACAATTTAAAAATTTACAATTGTAAAAAATAAACTTTCTCATACAATCTCTAGTGAATAGCAAAATTGAAATAAAATATCAAGTTCTAAAGCGGCAAGTTTTCAACTTGAAAAACTAAAAGCAGCCTGAAATTAATTTGTACGCCAGTCATAAAATTGAAATGGAATTGAATTTTTAAAAAAATTAGAGCTTGCAATTAAAGAGTTTTTCTCAAAACTTTTACTAGAGAAAATTAACTAAATATGAACTATAATCTATGATAAACAACAAAAGTAAAATACAATTCTGGAATTTGCAATCAACGAATTAACAGTTTAAATATTTGCGACTAGAGTAAACTGATGTCCCACTCTTTGCTAAGTAACAAAATCGAAATAAAATTACAAAGCTTGCAACCGACGAATTAACAAGTTAAAAGCTTGTGGCTAGAGTAAATAGATATTAAAATCTGTTCTTTGGTGAGTATTAGAGTTTTAAATCAACGAATTAACAACTTTAGAATTTTCAACTAGAGTAAATAAAATTACATTTACAATCTTTAGCGAATAACATTAAAATAACAGAGCTGGGAAGAGACAAGTTTGAGCAAACTGATTTTTAACTTGAAACTGTGGTATCTAACAGAATTAAAATGCAATCACATAAGCTGTTAACGGTAGCTGTTGTGGAAACGAGAGACTTGCACATGATACCAGGAGAGATGGCATTATCGGGTGTTGAAGGCAGATTCATTCATTTGCTGATGAATGCAATGAAAATACCTTACGAAGTGAGAGTTTCGCCCGATGGAGAGTGGGGACAAGAAATGAAAAATGGAAGCTGGACAGGAATCGTTGGAATGGTGCAGAGAGGAGAGGCTGATATAGCTGTAAATCAATTATCCATAACGAAAGAAAGATTGAAAGCAGTGAACTTTTCAATTCCTTATTCGGACGAATTAATTCAATTTGTTGCACCCACTCCAAAGCGTATATCTTCACTTATTGTGTACTTATATCCGTTTGACATAATGATATGGTTGTCATGCATAAGTATATTACTTTTAATGCCATTTATGCACGTGCTTTTACTTCCTAAAGGAAAAAAGTACAGTACTGAATTACTAAGATTACTAGGTTGCATATTAAAACAACCTATGTATACCAAAAACAAACGCATGCATAGATTCTACATTTTGCTATGTTTAATTTTTTCCATGGTTATTTCTTTAAGCTACTGTGCTGTACTGCTGTCGTTTTTAAGTGTACCTCTTTATGAACCTAAAATTCGGACTTTTAGTGACCTCTCTAAAGCAGTTCTAGGAGGTCAAGTCAAATGCCAGGTGATTGCTGGATCGTTTGTTTTATCACTTTTTTTGAATTCCACCGATGAACAATTACGAAGCGTGGGTGAATTAGTAGAGCGGAATTCTTGGACCTTTCAAGTGAAGGATTACAAAAACAAAACGATAGATGACAGAACTGCTTCTGTTTCTTCGGCTTTGTCGTTACAGTCACTTTACAGGGATTACAAGAACATAGTGTTTTCGGAAGATTCCCTTATGACTACAAATTTAGGCATCGCAATGAGCAAAGGTTTTTGTTGTAAAGAAAAATTGAATGATATGATATCCAGAATTAAGAACGCTGGACTCTATGAAAAAATTAAATCTGAGGAGTACCTAACAAAGCCATTAGCCTTAAGTGTTAGCCACAAGCTTACAGGAAAAAGGGTAGCAATAAGCGTGGAAAATATATACGGCGTTTTGCTACTTTTAGTTGCTGGATATATTTTAGCCTTTGCAGTACTAATTGGGGAAATATTATTTCCTCGATTTTATGGAAATTTACTGAACTCTAAGCCACCAAATAACACTTTTAGTAAAATAAATGCTTGGGAAGATAATAGAAAAATTAAATAAGACCACTCCTGAAATGTATGATTATAAGTATTTATTTCGTAACTTCTTAAATAATTTCTGAAATTAAATTAAAAAATCACCGAAGTAGAGTGTTAGTTATCTTTTTATTCAGGATAAAGCTCAAATATGTATTTGAGAAAATGAACACAATTCAAAGTACATTTTTAAGAAGATAGATAGAAAAAAATACTTCTTTTTAATATCCAACACAAATTTAACAATTAAATGAGGAATTTCATACTTAATTTCCCTTACTTTATCTAATCTGTGTGGCTGGGTCTATTACAGACGTAACTTTCCAGGCCATTTCTTCATATTCAAAACATTAAATGATAAAGTGGTTTTATTTTATTTCATAAAAATCGTTGAACAGCCGACCCAATCTTTGGGTTTACGACTACTAATGTTCAACGTCGTAGCCTTGTAATTTTGAACCCAATCCAGAAGACAAGGGAGCTTCTGGATCAAGTATTGGGAGAAATTTGCCTTCGAGGATGACTTTTTAATGGAATTAACCAGCATTTGCGTTACATTGAGAGAAAAACCACGAAAACTCCCACGGTTAGATTAACGGCAAGGAGACTCTAACCTATGATCCGCTTACCACTGAGGATATTTTACGTTAGTACTGTGGTCGGTGCAAGCCGGATGTAAAATTCGTATTGACCAGCCATCGCTGGATTCAAACCCGGTTCACCTCATTGGAAGGCGAATACTCTATACCCTGAGCCATCACGGCTCTGTTAAAGTGATTTTTAAGAATCTACATTTTAACAAACCAAATTTACAAACATTATTTTAAATTTCTAGGACTTGTGAAAACTACTGTTGACTTTTCTTAAGTTTTTGAAAAGAAAACAAATTTTAAAAATTTGTACTAACTAATTTAGGCAAATGAATGACACCCTCTTGAGAATTTGTTCGGATTCATTAGTTTATTCTTTAGAAAAATAACAATACTCGTAAGAGAAAGTAAAAGAATATGCAATCAAATGCAATATGCATTTTCTCAAATACACATTCTGGGCTATTTCCATTTCCTTAAATACGCGTTTTTATGTATCCCTTTCTGAAATACTCATTTAGAGCTATGTCTGGAGAGAAAAAAAAGCTAACCGATGTTTTGTATTTCTAGCTGTATAGCTGTATGCAATACATATTCTATTTGATTTTTTTCTTCTAATGTATTACGTACACAAATTTGAAAGAACTAATAATTCTCAAACAAGAAATTTTAAATCAATCTTTTGATTAGCTAAATCATTATTATTTTAAATTTATTCTATTGTATTACTTAAAAGAACATTAGAATTCGAATGGCGCTTAATAGATTTCTAAAATGCGCAAAATGTAACAAAATATTTAGGAACTAGAATATTTTTTTGCAAATTTAAAATGAGCAACAATAAATGCACCACAGAATAATGAGTATATGTTGTGATAAAAAAACGTAATTTTTATCTTAAAATGGGAAGCTTCTCTGTCATAAATAACTTTTTGGAGTTATTTATCTCCGTTTCAAATTATCTTGCACGGCAACCAAGTTTTTGCACTTTTTGAGAAAACTTCTTCTAGTTGTACAGTGTAAAAAAAATCTGTGTATACTTGCCATCATTTTTGGTGTTGTGGCATGCGTAAACTATAAAACTTTATACAGTAGGGGAGAGTGGGGTCAATTGTAACAGGGTACGATTGTAACAGAGCAAAACTTTCGAGTGTCGGGTTTTAGATTTGGTTCTTAGGTGGCGCACAAGGTGTATTTAATAAATCTACATGTACACCCCTGCTGGCAACCATTTCTAGGTACTTTTGAAAGAGTTACATCACAAAAGATATTTTCACGCTACGTAAGTAATTTTTTTGGCATTAGAATATTATATTGTAACAAAGTAATTTTGTTTAAATCAATAAAAATTATTAACCGAATATGTAAGTGGACATCTTAATTAACATTTCAGAAAAAAAAGATTAGTTTAATTAATAAACTAGCATTGTTTTTAACAAATGAAGCTGAAATGGCGTCTTGGGGACAATTGTAACAATAAGTAAAGGGACGATTGTAACAGCTGAAAATAAATAATCTTATGCTTACAAACAATTACTTAACTCTTTAAGAACCACCAATAGTTTCCTATATCATTTATATTATGTTGCATGTGCATTATTTTATTTGTCACCTTTCACAGCATAAATTAAAATTTTTAACCCCTTAAAGTTAAAAGTTGAACCCTTTAGGTCTCTGCTCATTATTATTTTTACTCCTAAAATATCACTACTATTTTGATCAATAAAAAAATATATCACAACTATGATAATATGTATAATTGACTATGTTTTAGTTGAATTTATGAACTGTTACAATTGACCCCGTAAGTGGGGACAATTGTAACAAGTGCACGATTGTCGAAAATTGTTAATTACTAATATAATAACATTTAAAATAAGGTATTTATTTTTTTTCTAGTAGAGAATAGTCTACTTTACTCGTCTGTCAATTAATACTGATAATATATTGGATTTTCTGTTAGTTAAAAATAGTTAAGTAAAAAATGTTACAATTGACTCCACTCTCCCCTATATATAGTCGCATTTCTTTGCTTTTTCTCTATAGTTTTATTTCTTCATTTGCTATTTGGTAGTTTACTGACAACAAAGTTTTCATGCACATTAAAATCGATTTAATGATTTCATTTCAAAAGATTTCGTTTAAAAAACATGCACATTTTTAGTATTATATTTGTGCTTATTCCTTCAAAGAATTGTTAGTTTGGTTAGATTACATAATCTTTTGTACGATGACCACAATTCTGAACTTAAAAATAAAGAAAAACAGTGAGCATTTCTTACTGTGCTGATAAGTTTATGTTTTGATGCGTGATTCTAAACGTTTTCTAAACTTGATTTTTAAAGTTGTTTTCAACACAACTGCCGGCAAATGATTCAAACGTTTATATGAAACGCTACTTTATTCCAGCTCTCTTGCAATGAAGTCTTTTAAAAATATTGGCAGAATTATCAAAAACTCTGAAAGCTTTAATTTTTAATTGATTACAACTCTATAAATTATTTTGAAAAAAGCATAGCTGTCGACATCCTTTATCTTGTTACAGAAGCATTTTGATGTTGCTCTAAAAGTATATTCATTGCTATTTTAAGTGGGATAATATTTTTATATGGATCAGGATATTTTTTTAGTGAAATGAAATTTTTTGTTCACAATTATGAAAGGTGTTCATCCAATGATAATTCTATGTAAAAAATAGTTTGTTTGTAACTGTTTGTTTTAAATTTTATATTTAGAAAAGTCATTTTATAATCATTTCATAAAAGTTACTTTATGGTAAAAGTCATTATGAGCCACGAACATCATTAGTCAAATATTTTTATTGTCAAAAAAGTTTTAATTGTAAGGTATGTAGATTTTTGCGTATCTTTTTTATACAAAAAGCAAAATTTAAATGAATTCTATCAAATAGTTCGCGTGATATAAAATTTAAAAAAAAAAAACATATTTTTTTCATTTATTATTGGTAAGAACTATTCGCCCGATTTCTTAAAAAATAGCGCTTCCGGTGTCATTTAAAAGTGTATAATTGAAAATGCTTAAACATTTATATACTATAAAAATTAAATATTTCTGTGTCCAGAATGTTAATAAAATAATTAAAAAAATCATAACTATTTATTAGAAATTATTTGATTAGTGATTAGAGTCAAGGGATTCAGAACAGTTATTTATCAAACGATACAAATCAGTGCTGCGAATCAAATGACTTGAATCAATAATTCGAATCAAATGATTTGAATCAATGATTCGAATCAAGTGATTCAAATCATTCATTCAAATCATGATTTGGATCCCTGATTCGAATCATGCGATTTGAATGACTAATTCTTATGAAGGGATTCGGATCACTGATTCGAATCATGCGATTCTGATCACTGATTCGAATCATGCGATTTGGATCACTATTCAAATCAAGTGATTCTGATCAGTGAACCGAATCATGGGACATTGATTAATGATTCGCATCAATTGATTCAAATCATGTGATTCGGATCATTGATTCTCATAAAGTGATTCAGATTACTGATTCGAATCATGCGATTTGGTTCACTATTCGAATCAGGTGATTCGGATCAACCACTCAGCTACTCGTAGCTCTCTGTGTAGATGATGAACTAGTTAGTGAGATGATGGACTAGATCAGTAATAGATAGCTGCTACTCATAAAGAAGACTCAAGAAACTTAATAAATCAGTTGAAAACTCAGTTCAAAATCACAAGCAAGCCAGCATCATATTTCTTAGGAGTCGAAATATATATATAGAATTGATAGTAGAAGCATATAATTGGACAAGAATCTTTTGTTGCAAGGATACTTCAGCGGTTCGTTATGAGTAATTGTAGGCCAGTTCATACACCCATTTTGAAGAGGAAGAATCATACACTACAGAAGACGAAAATAATACAGTGTTTTCTTATCTTGAGGCTTTTGGTGTATTAATGTATCTTATAATGGGCACTAGACCTGACTTGTCATACGTAATTAGTGTTTTTTCACGTAAATTAGAAAATCCTTTTAAAGAAGATTTTATCAAAGTAAAGCGGGTATTTCGTCACATCGCAAGCTCCTAACAAAACTGCATTTTCTAGAAATCAGGCAATAAACCCACAATTCTAGAATGCTTCAGTGATGGATGCTGACTTTGGAGGTAGGATGAAGACAGGAAGATCGACGAGCGGAGGTGGTCCTATATCCTTGTTAAGTCAACGTCCAGTTACGGTTGCAATATCAACCACAGAAGCTGAGACAGTTGCAGCAAATTAAGAGTCAAAGCAATTGATTTGGCTTAAAAGACTCCTCAATGGAATTTACTCCTTGAAAAAAGAGCCAACGATTTCTGTTGTTCTAGTGCAGCTGTCAGATTTGCTCAGAATCCCGAGTTTCACCGTAGAACGTAGCACACCAATATTCACATTTCTCATTCGTGAAAAAATATTAGAAGACGAAATAAGTGTGTAGCAGATCTCAACAGAAATGCAAATTACAGATATATTGACGAAGCCCTTGACCAAACCGAAACTTTTAAAGCTATGAGAAAGAAATGTGACTCGTATAAATACTGAACTCAAAATGTTATTTAGAAATTCGTGGTTTAGTTTTTTTTAACCTTTTTTACAAGGGATAGTATTAATGTATATTAATTTAAGAAAATTGCATTTATATATTTATGTAATCTGACAACAGATCAGTACAACTACTTCAACTTCTAAATATGAAACCCGTTCCCTGGTTATTTAATACGATCATCGTTTGATTTTGTTTCTTTCATACTATGCTGAATAAACAGTTTAACTTTAAGATGTTAGATTCGGTTAATACTTGCATAATTTAATAGTTTCTACAGTACTTAGATGCTAACAGGCTCTCTTCATAGGGATAATGGTTTTTTCTTAACTTGTAACAGATTATAGATACCCTATTTGTAAATTGCGGCTATCCTCCATCTTTTGAGGGTCAAGAATCCAAATTTGTCGGATGAAAGGTATGCTTATTCACAAAAAATAACGTGTTTATGGCTTATTTTGAAACTTAAAATATCACCAGTTGTAACTAATTAGCATATTTTAGGATAGACCCCCAACCATTAATATTGAATCTTTAAATGAAAAAAAAAATCCGATTGCTAGATCAAAAGTTGTTGAGGGGAGTTTTTTTTATTTTACTGACTGTATATTACTTTTAGGACATATCCTGCATTATTTTTTTAACTCTTTATAATAAAGACACCGTTACCTATAGCTAAAAAGTTACTTCTTCCTATCTTCTTTTATTTACATATTTTTTTATTAAAAAAAAGAAAAAAGAACAATGAAATGCACAAACTCAAGTATAAAACAAAAATCGCTCTTAAAGTAAACTTTTTTAATTAAGTTAAAAATTATTCCACTTACGTTAAAAAATGGCAAAATCAATAGATAAAGGTGATCAAAGCACCCTCCCCCCCATGAAGAGATACATTTTCTAATTAATTTGGTAAAGAATAGGAGAGAATGTAATATAGATTTTTAATCTAACCTTTTTTTCTGATCATTGATATTAAAATAAAGTCTTTAAAAAACGTACTTTTTCTCGAACTTCCAATGCTATTAACGCAGCAAATTATGCTTAAAAAATCTGTTGTTTCAAAATTCACGTGTGATCAAAATTGCGTTCGTTAATATTGGAAATAAATAATCGCACGCGTTATTGTTAACTCCCAATATATCAAATCAAAAAAGTGTATGTAATGTTTTTTATAAGTTACAACTCATGAAGTATTTCAACTATGTACTTGTTGCCATGGAATTACAATATTTTATTCTGAATAAAATTTATGATTACCTAAAAGGGGTATTTCATAGATTTCAGTTTTATTCAAATGTGTTTTCTTAAATACGTTATTTATACATTACAAATACATTATTTATACATTATTTTTTATTCAAGATAGGAGTTAAGAATGAACTTTTTTCTCGAACCATTAGTTTATTTTCTAATAAATGGTTTTACGCAAATTATTTATGAAGAATGTAAAAAATTGTACTCTGTAAAGCGGGATCCTTAATTCTGTGAAAACAATTGTAGAATCAAATTCGTATTCTACAAACATAGAAAAACAAATTATTTTTTATATTTATGATTTTATCTGAGTGATCAACAATTAAACTTCTAGATTATATTGCATGCATTCGTGTTTATAGTTTTGTATGGAAAGAGTTCGGCAAAAAGTTTAAATATTATCGATAATGCAGATTTTTATTAGGATATTAAGTACATTTTCCAATCGGAATATAATGGAAAATGTTGTTTATGGAACTGCAAAATATTTTTCCGAAAGAAATTTCAAATAAATTTGCATAAAAGAATAAATACCTTGTACCAAAATTTAAATTTTTTTTCAGACATACATTTATACTAGTTCATAAAAAGGAAAAAAAACCTTTTTGTTAAAATACTGTTAAAAAAAATTTTTTTGTGATTAAACATCAATGGTGAGAAGCCAAATTACATACAATACACAATGCTTCGAAACGAAAAATATATAAGAAGAAACGGAAATACTAAATAAAAACTATCATTATGTAAAACAAACATAATTGAACAAGCCTCAATAGTACAGCTGAAAAAAATAATCATTTGCATCGATTGCTACCGTCAAACAGAACGGAAATGAACTTAGGCCAGCCGTTAAAAATTTCTATTTTAGTAACACAAATCTTAAATGTGACAAGAAACATTCAGGGAGAGTTAGAACTATCAGGAATCGAAGGCAAATTCATTCACTTACTGATGAATGCGATGAAACTTCCATTCGAAATTAAGATACCACCAGATGGAGAATGGGGAAGGAAAATGGACAATGGCAGCTGGACTGGATTAGTTGGTATGGTACATAGAGGAGAAGCTGACTTGGCAATCAGTCAACTATCCATAACTGCAGAAAGGTCCCAAGCAGTAAAATTTTCAATTCCTTATACAGACGAGCCAATTAAATTTCTGACACCTGCCCCAAGAAAAATATCTTCCCCTTTTGTATACCTATATCCATTCGACACGTCCGTATGGTTGTCGTGTATAAGTGTATTACTTTTAATGCCATTTATGCATGTACTGTTCCTTCCTGAGCGTCAAACGTACGGTTCAGCATTGCTAAAAGTATTTGGCAGCTTGCTAAAGCAGCCACTGTGCACTCAAAGCAAATCCATGCATAAATTTTGCATTTTGTTGTGTTTAATTTTTTCCATGGTTATTTCTTTTAGCTACTGCTCTGTTCTTTTGTCTTTTTTAAGTGTGCCCCTTTATGAGCCTAAATTGCGGACATTCAATGACCTTTCCAAAGCAGTTCTGAGAGGTCATTTGAAATGCCAGGTGACTTTAGGATCGTTTATTTTACCATTTCTTTTGCATTCTACCGACGAACAATTGAGAAATGTAGGTGAGTTAATTCAAAAGAACTCGTGGAGTTTCCAAGTTAAGCATTACCAGAATAAATCCGTTGATTATGGATCTGCTGCTGTTTCGTCATTTCTGACGTTGCAATCATTCTACAAAGGGTATAAGAACGTTGTGTTTTCTGAAGATTCTCTTGTAACTACACCTATAGGTATTGCAATGAAGAAAGGGTTTTGCTGTGAAGAAAAATTGAACGATATGATATCCAGAATTAAAAACATGGGATTGTATGAGAAGATTGAATCTGACGAACTGTTACCTACGTCATCAACAGCAAGTGTTCCTTATAAGTTAACCAGAGAAATCGTTGCAATAAGTGTTGAAAATATGTACGGTGTTCTATTTCTTTTAATCGCGGGATATGTTCTATCGTTTGCAGCATTAGTTTGGGAAATATTTTCTCAAAATCATCAAAGTATGAATTAAATATTGAATCAAAATATGATTCGAAATTAAGGATATTCTATTCAAGAAAATCAGAAAAGTAAATGAGACAAGTACCAAACTAGGCTCTTGACTGGAAGTATTCATAAAACGTTAACTGGAGATATTATTATAATATGTTTTCAAAAAATATGTGAGCTTCTGTTACTACTAACTACTGGATATATTTTGTCTTGTATAGCTTTCATTGAAGAAATGTTATTAACTGATTTTGAAAACAATTCAAATAGCTCAGATTTTATTATTAAAATTCTATTCAGCACTATATATTATAATTCTTATAACTATTATTATTATTATTATTATTTTATAGTTGCAATTGTGATTTACTTCTCCATAAAATTTCTTCAAGTTAATTATTTTAGTTTCGTGATTAATTGTTTAGTTTCATATAAGTTCATATAAAAATATATGTTTCCTTATTTTTTCATTGTTTTTAAAAAATTCTATAAATTGAATGAAAATTATGCCATAAGATAAAATTTTCACGACTCAATATTTTTTTTCTTTCATTTTAACTTAAACTTACATTCAGTACTTAACTCTTATTTAATGTATTGAATTCAATCCATTTCCTTCTTACTGACTATTTTCGATAATATTATTGAAATACATTTTCTTCTTTTTGTTTATTACAATAAAATGTTTTCATCGTCTTAAACAACCCGAAAAAAATTATGACGCAGGTTATCATCGAAGAAATTACCATGAGACACTGGTAAGTCGCATTCTCTTTTTTTAATGTTCCATGCAAAAATAGAAGAAGAAAAAAGTTTCCTTTGTTTTAATTCTGCTCATTACTAAATAAGGATCCAAAATATTTTAGGCGAAAATACGCATAGTTTTAATTTGATACTACTTTGATCCGATGTATTGAAATTGAATCCATGGCTTTAATGAGAAACTATCCTCTAACAAGAAGGTATTCGAAGTGTCTCTCGTAAATAAAGTTTAGTTTTATTATATTGTTTTTTTTATTGCAAAATCTATGCAAAATACTTTGTTTATTTTACACAGGTTGTAGTAAAGTTAGCAAGAACAAAAGTTTAGGTAAGCGCAGAAGATTCACGAAATACGCGAAAAGTTATACAAATTAAAAAAAAAATTACATTGAAGATACTCATTAAAAACTAATTTCAAATCATTTCTCGTTAGACTTCCAATTTAACTATCATATTTTAATGTTTTATGTAAATCTTTTAGAACACAAGTATTAAAGTTTCCGATTAAGTGAAAAAAAGCCTTAAATTCAAGTAACTTTTTATAACGAGCAATGTTCTTCCTTTGTCAAATGGATTTCACTTGGCTATGTTTTCAAGGCAAAAATATTCGCTTCCTTTTCTAATTTATAGAACTAATCAATTACTTTAAAATAGACAAAATAAGTTTTATAATTTTTAAACAAAACTACATCTCCCAGAAGAGAGAAGGCCTCCGAGCGGATTAATTTAGTAGTAGGTCGTAACTATAAGATAATGTGTATAGTGGGGTAAAAATAAGAAATATGTCGTATCGTCCAGACTACTAAACTGTGAAGTGAGTGATAAATTGGAAAGATGCTATAACGTTTGGATGACTAAAAGATCGGATAACTCGCTTCTGGTAACCCATGTGAAGGTTTTCTCCCTTCTGTGAGGTGTTTTTTCAGAGCTTGAAAAACTGCCCCCATTTATGAACCAGCTTTGCTATTCTATATTTTAAGTCCATCAAAATTTGGAGAAAAAAATTGAAGATTTCAGTTGGTATATCATCCACAAAATAATATAAAATATAATATAAAATGGAGGAAAATGTGACTAAATGATAAAGCTAATACGTCATTTGTTTTCGTACGCCTCACCTCTGCTTCTGCAACCATTTCTTGCAATAAACATGCCAAGTTTCGCCCATTTTTTATGATCTGATGCATAAACATGAACGTGACGTTTTAAGTATTTTGTCCCAACTTTTATCCTAACTTATCAAATCTTCATTTTCCTCCTCATCATCAGAAATTGCTGATGCTTCTCTTCTCTACTCAAACGAAATAACTTTTTTTTAAATGCTGGTAAAATTTCTGAACAATGGAAGCGGGAATCTTCTAGTTTCAAATACGATCTAATCGGGTTATAATTAATATCATAAAATAGTATAGTAGTACAAATAGTAAATAATATACGGTTTCTTTTAAAATTCAATTTGTCAGGAACAAATCAATCGATTTCGCTCAAATTTAGTATTTTGCTGTGTAAAATTACAATTTTTAAAAGGATTTCAAATTTTTTATCCTGCAGATCAAATTTATCTGCAATAATTAAATAAAATGATAAAATATCAAAAATATTTGCCGAAAAGTTATATTTTTGCATGGTATTTAGCTTTGAATAAACTAATTTTATATCTACTTTCTCTGAATTCATTTCTCTGAAAAATTTCTCGAAATATGGCAAAATACACAAAAAGTAAAATAACATAAAGGATAATAACTATGGATAGCTCTCCTGACCCAACTATTGGGGCCATATTTCAAAAATTGTGGCTACCCCCTATTTTCTGTAAGTCCGAATCTTACGAAAAATGCTATGTTGATGAAGATAAAGTACGTTTTTGAACCGGATTTCATAACTTAAATAAATATCGCCTATACTTACTAATTAACATATTTGAGATAACCTCGTCAAACCATTAAGAATGGACGTGAAGATCCAATCATTAGATAAAAAGTTATTCAGGTTGGTCAATTTTTCTTTTCGCGTTTTCTGCGCACTTTATCTTAAAATGTGTTGTAAGTGTAAATGTGTTTCTTATAAAATTTTTAAAAGAAAGCAGAGGAGATGTTAAATAAAAAGAACTTTTTCTCGTATTCGCTATGAACACAGATTACTTTAATTTTCGTTCACTCAAAAATTTAACGTCACTCAAAATAATTTAAAGTTGTATACGTTATTATTAAAGAAATCGTTGCATTTATTATTCCTGTACTAACTTACAATTTAAGGAAATACATAGCAGTATAAAATATTCTTGGGCTGTAGCCTGTAATTATTTCTCCAAATTCAACGATATTGTTATCGTCATGGTCTAACAATACCTTTTTTTAAGTAAAGATAATTAATACCTAAAAGGTAATTAAAATAATTGCATATTTTGTAAATTTTAAACTTATCTAAATTTTTCAATACAATTCTCCAATACATTTTTTCAATAAATTTTTTTATTAAAGAAAAAAAGTTAAAAATTGACTTTTATTTTATTGTAACCCTTATTTGATTTTCAAATAAATTGTTTCATGCAAATTAAATATGATGAATGTGAAAAAGTGTACTATGTTCAGTTGGTTCCTTAACATTCTAGAAAAAATTAAATAATAAGTTAAATTTGTATTCCTCATACATTTAGAACTCAACATTTAACTTAACGTAACAGCATATGCGTAATCAACAACAAAACCACTTTGAATTAATAACAGCTTTTAATTTTCGGAGAAAATATTCGGATAAAATAGTAATTAAAATCAACGCAAATAGACGACTTAAAACATGACTTTTAACAAGATTTATTTCTTTTTTCACATATTTTATTTTGAAATATTTCGTACTATTGCCGCATATGCTTGTATTCATTTATTACATTTAATTCTGATTCAATAGCTGATTTTATTGATTTACATTCCTTTCCAAGATTTTTCCCCATTTTATTTGTATCACGGTTTCAAATATTTTTCTTTCACAGATAGCATCACACGATTTCTTCAAAACCAAGTAAAATCCAAGTTGTTTAAACTAAACTACAGTAGTAATAATAAAGAATGAATGAAACACTGAATATTACAGCTTTAAGGCTTTAGTGTTGCTAACATTCACCAACTAACAAAACAGTTATTTGTTCTTTACATTAGATGATCAATTCTTTAAAATCTAAAAGCCTTGCCATACAAAGATATTTTATTTTTGTTTTATTTTGACGGCAACGTGTCAGCATATTGTTGAAATTAAAAGAAGAAAAAATGATGTGCTCGTGCAAATTAAATACATACATGTATAAAACACAACAGGATAAAAGAAATTTTTACAATATTTTTATAAGCTAAATTCAATAAAATATTCATGTATTTTTACCGATATTGGCATTGTCATAAAATATTTTTCTTTAAAAAAATTTATTATTATCTAAAAGGTATTCAAAAATATTTCTGTAATTTCTTATGTTATGTGAAATTTGTTTTCTTCTAAACATTTTTTCTATTTAAAAAAATGATAAGAATTGACTTTTCTATAGTAACGGTTAGTTTATTTCCTAACAAACAGTTTTCTGCAAATGATCCATGGAAAGTGTGATGAAAGAGTTTAATTTGTTTACCAGTATCCTTAATTTCTTGAATACAACACCAAAATCAATTCAGTTCCCGTATTTCACACATGTCAAAACTAACGATCCCTTTTAATTATCTTTATATCTGAGCGATAAGCAACCAAACCTCACGGTTTTTTAGCACGTAATCGTGATGAAAAAAGTTCGTCAACCTCATAATAATACTTAATAACATCAATATTACTAAAACAAGTAAAAAAGTGACTTAAAACTAGAAATTAGTGTAATAAGTCTAGTTTCTGAAACAAAATGTGAAGAAAAAACTTTGTTGATGAAATAGCCAAAATATTACAATTGAAATGTCTTTCAGAGAGAAATTTCAAGGACATTATGATAAAAGAAATCTAGGCTGGTAATAACCATCATGTTTTTGTTTCAGTATTATTTTCAAACCACTCCCAAACGAGTTGCGGTTTATTTATTTTTTTAAATTTTCAACATATTCAGTTATGAACATTGGTGAACAGTACATACACTCAAAATGTATTAAAAGCTGAAGGAAGCAAAAAATGGGATAGCCGATAACAAAGAGTCAACTTAAGGAAGTGTACCTCAAAATTATAATAGAAAAAGTAGTCGATTACGTCAGTTGCAGTGGCAATACAGAACTGAAATGAAACCGCATAGAATATTTAAAATTGGTGTTTTAGTAACAAAAGTCTTAAATGTGACGAGAAATATTCAGGGAGAGTTAGAGCTATCAGGAGTAGAAGGCAAATTCATTCACTTACTGATGAATGCGATGAAAATTCCATTCGAAATTAAGATACCACCAGATGGAGAATGGGGAAGGAAAATGGACAATGGCAGCTGGACTGGATTAGTTGGTATGGTACATAGAGGAGAAGCTGACTTGGCAATCAGTCAACTATCCATAACTGCAGAAAGGTCACAAGCAGTAACATTTTCAATTCCTTATACAGACGAGCCAATTAAATTTCTGACACCTGCTCCAAGAAGAATATCTTCCCTTTTTGTGTACCTGTATCCATTCGACACGTCCGTATGGTTGTCGTGTATAAGTGTATTACTTTTAATGCCATTTATGCATGTACTGTTCCTTCCTGAGCGTCAAACGTACGGTGCAGCATTGCTAAAAGTATTTGGTAGCTTGCTAAAGCAGCCACTGTGCACTCAAAACAAATCCATGCATAAATTTTGCATTTTGCTGTGTTTGATTTTTTCCATCGTTATTTCTTTTAGCTACTGCGCTGTTCTTTTGTCCTTTTTAAGTGTGCCCCTTTATGAGCCTAAATTGCGGACATTCAATGACCTTTCCAAAGCAGTTCTGAGAGGTCATTTGAAATGCCAGGTGACTTTAGGATCCTTTATTTTACCATTTCTTTTGCATTCTACGGACGAACAATTGAGAAGTGTAGGTGAGGTAGTTCAAAAAAACGCGTGGAGTTTCCAAGTTAAGAATTATCAGAATAAATCCGTTGATGATGGGACTGCTATTGTTTCGTCATTTTTGACGTTACAATCACTCTTCAAAGGGAGGAAAAACATTGTGTTTTCCGAAGATTCTCTTGTAACTACGCATGTAGGTATTGCATTGAGAAAAGGCTTTTGCTGTGGAGAAAAATTGAATATTATGATATCCCGAATAAAAAACGCAGGGTTGTATGAAAAGATTAAATCTGACGAGTTTCAAACCGTGTTAATGACTGGAAGCACCCGTAGAAGTTTTACTTCAAAAAGTATTGCGATAAGTGTTCAAGACATATATGGTGTTCTATTACTATTAACTGCTGGGTACATTTTTTCATTTATAACTTTAGTAGGAGAATTTCTATTGAATTCTGTTAAAAATAGTTTAAAAAATTTCGAAATTAATTAATAATATTTGTTTTTATTTATTATCATTGTAAGCGATGCTC